ACGCAAGTCCTTGCATTTTCTGTAGTCGTGTCCCGAGCGGGCTTACGGAGGATGCTGGTTAGCGTGTCAGTTAGTCAAGTCTCAAGGACCTTTTTTACTGCTAGTGGCATGTCCTCCACTACGGATGTGGAAGCTACCTTACCAAGAGATTTTGTGATGGTACAGTGAGGAGGGGGTGACCCACCTCGCCGGGGGAGGCATTGGGCGTTGCGTCCTCGTCCACTACTTCAGAGCTCTCATTGATAATGTTCATGAGGTTGGTTGGGAGGTCACTCATTATTTTCGTCCTTTCTTCTCTGTTACCTGCCATATTAGATCTGTGCATACAAAGAAAGGAGATCTTGTTCTTGCTCTTTTTTTTTAACGTTAGCGATCCGTGTTAGATATAGATCTAGAGGGAACTAAAAATTTAACTAAGAAATTCCCACAAACGGCGCCAAATTATTTGACCAAAAAGCGTAACTTTCGGTTAAAACGATTATACTTATGTAATGGCGGATTAAACCTAGTTAATGATAATATCTCTAGATATGGATTCCGAAAATATAGCTAACGTTAGACATCTAGTAGGGGACTGACAGTAGCATTCAATAAATACTCCAAAAGGTATGAACAATAATGGAGAAGTAACTAGCAATAATAACAATAAATGATATTTAAATAAATAGCGAGACGTTGCTTGTCTTGTGTGACGTTTTCGTCTTTCTTCCTCATTCTGTTGTGTACATTGATACTCTTTGATTAAAGTACTGATCATTCACTAATTGACAACAAACATTGCACAATTATCTATTTTTCGTAAGAAACAATGATTAAGAAAAACACAAAGGTACATTTGTTTAATGTTTGAACGCCGCTCTCTACAGACAAACTTGTGTAGGCCTACCCTTTCGTTTTTGAGTTAAATTAACTTTTATTAATTGGCAATATAAAAGAATTTTTATACTATACTACCAGATTAAGTAAATAGCAATTACAGGCAATCGTCCATAATAAGTATAATTAATAACTTGAAAATAAAAGTAGGCAACTTGCTATAATATGTTAAATATTATTGAAAGTGCAAAGATACTTTACACTGAAAATTTATATAAATTAAAACCTTCGTTTTTCCAAAAGGTACATCATTCGGGCGCATAATGCCATTGTATTGCTAAAGTTCTAAAATATACATACTCCTATTAACTTTAAATTAAACACTGTTTAAAGACGTACATCAAATAGCCCCAGGTTTGCTTATTAAGATATATTTCTATGGTAATTAGACAATTGAAATATCGTGGGTCACATAATGCTTTGGGAAGAGCATGAAAATAGAACATGCATATTTAATAGAAAAAGATCAAGAATATCCAACTCGGAAAATTTTAAAATTAGATGGTTTGATAATTAAGCCATTGAAGAGGGTACTGGAAGGCACTACAATTTTAAAACTTTAAATTGAAGTTAAAGATATACCTATATATATGTAGTTGCTCAAGTGGGAGTAGTTTGTACAATTGTTCTCCACTAGAAGATTTATAAGAAGAAGCTTGAATATTTGGTGCATGGAAAAAGACAAAGTAGAGCATTCTCAAAATTAAATGTGCTAGATTTTTTTTTGGTAAAAGAAAAGATATTATTAATCACCACAACATAAATATATTAAAATTTGTGCAGGCTCATTTAGCTTAGCATACCTACTAGGTAGGGCTGCTAATAATCTATATAGCTGCAAAATAAAATCCCATCTGTACAATTTATCTTTTCCTTTCTATGTTTCCTTCACTGCAAAACTGTGACCACTCTAATCTTGCACTCTAGAAAATTATGAACAAGAAAATAGAATACTTTTAACTTTCAAAAAGTTTTCCCCTCCAATGCTTTATCATGTTCCATCTTTAGGGGTTGATGATGGAAAAAGAAGATGCACAAGCATCCACACTTTTTTTTTATTTCCTATCCGGTGTTCGGTATTTACATCGGGGTCTGACTAAATTCGGATTCGTTTCGGAAAATCCCACATTAAGGGGTAAAGCGCTCCCTAACAAAGGCGACTCCATAGCCACGGACTCGAATCTGAGACTTCTGGTTAATGATGAAGGAGTACTTACCACTCCACCAGAACCCTTGTTGGTCAAGCATACACACTTTGTTTCTCTTCCAAGATATGATTACGCTTTTGGATATTTTTTTTTTTTTTAAAGGTCAAGCTATGGGGTGTTATTTAGTGATAATATATAAGGTGATTCTGACAATCGTAATTAAAAAAAAAAAAAAAATAGTCCTTCATTTCCAAATTAACTGTATTAAAGATTTTCGGTTGGTTATTCTAAGATGTCAACTGCAATTAATCTTAATCCAGAAGTTTTATGTGACCAGCTTTTACTCTTTTCAATACATTTTTTTACAATTAATTTTTGAAATATTTTGTAGGGTATACAAAAGCTAATTAATCACATATTGCATCAAGCCACTCACTTCGGGACATTAAAATTGCAACCTAAACCAGGAATCCTTGTCTAATTAAACTGATATATAGCTACTGCGTTATAAAAATGCCCGTATCGCCGGTCAGCCACCGTGAAGATTGGTTGACTGGAAGTGTATTAATAAAGTAATACAAATGATACTCCAATGATTAGATGCTTCGACATAATAAATTAATTATTCTAAGTAAATGATGCAAAAACCACTTAATATTGTTTTTTTATAACTATTACTCCCTTCTTCCACTTTACTTGGTACTATCATTTTATTAGTCTACTTAAAAAGAATAATATATTTTTATATTTCCATAATGAGATATTTTTATATCCATCCATATAAATGCTTTGATATTGTTTAAGATCATTAGTTTTAAAAAATTTATAATCACACCGTATTATGAATATTTAAGATCACAAACTATAAAAGTTTTTTTTAATTAAATTTTGTGACAGTCAAATAAAATAAAACGGATCGGAGTATTGTTTAGTTTACTTTTTCTTTGTCCTGTTTTCACGTTTCCTTCGGACTATGGGGCTTTGTGATTATTTATGCACCTTAAATGAAGTCACCAATGTTTACACTAAAGTGTTCTAACACAAAGGAAAAAGCTCCATTAAATTAGGAGAATTTTAAGGAGACAAAGAATTCTTCTATTTGTCTGTCTTTAGGTGGACTCTGTCAATAGTTTGGGTGCTTTGCACTATTAGTGAGAAATTTCTTTTAAATAAAATTTGATTTACATATAATAATATGTTCTCTTTCTGAAAAAATTGATATGGTAATGAATAAAGTAGTTTTTAATTACTATTTTCTTATTAGTCCATTAAAAAAAACTGATACACTTTTATATTTAAATAAAATTATACTTCTCGTTTTACCTTTAATGAGTAACTTTTTACACCCGTAAAAGATTTAAGACAATGTTTAAGGTTGCAAATTTCAAAAGCCTCCACCCCACCCCCCCCCCCCCTTTAAATTTGTGTCGATTATGAATAAAAACTATTGAAATTGCATTAATGGGGTAAAAGTTCTCTGTAATATATACGGTCAAACCTCTATATAACAACATTATTTGTTCCGATATTTTTTGATATAGAGGATATATATATTATAACATAACATAAAAATCAGTTTCCAGAAGAACATGACTTTTATAATGAATGATTGTTATATAGAGATGCTGTTATAAAAACTTCTAACTGTATACGTATATAAGTAACTTATAACTTAAACCTTTTGGCGTAACTGGATGCTGATTGAAGTAGAATGACTAGCTAGTTCAATGAAATTAGTCCCAAAGGTGTCCACTCACAAGTAGAAACTTCTAGACGTATAAAGTGGTCCTTAATTCGGATCAAAATCTCGAAGTAAACGGAATGATTGTTGACTTTCTGAGATACTGTTTGGACCATGAGAGGCAATATGGGTGCCATTATCGGCTGCATTTTGTTCCTTTGCCACAAGTACACTTCACGTATCCAATGGAATGCTGCTGGTAAAAACTTACTCGCACTGGGTGTTTACACTAAATCAATAAATACATGACATGTGTCTTGTATATGGACTTCAATCATTTAACCATGATAAATTATATACATTCTCATCTAATTAAATTAATTAACCATGGTGAGTTAATATAGTTTGGTGTAAACACCCGATGTGAGTAAGTATTTACCGAATGCCACTATACCTATAATACCAATAACTTTTTCCTACCTTTTTATTTTCCTTTATTCATTTGGTTTCTCAATAGTTATTTTTCCAACTATAACTCCTACTCACATGGGCTGCACAAACAATTTCTCAAAATTGAAATTTCTCTGCTGGACTTTCTCTTTTCTCTATACCAATAGAAATACAATCTTTTATACTCTAATTAATCTTTGGTATATTAGAAAATGGCATGTAGAGCTATAAAACAGAAATGACACCTGGAACTCATGATCAAAACGAATCCAAAGTCTTCATTAAGAATACATTGATTTAGTGAAGATATAGTCACCAACTCCACTATTTCATTGTCGATTATCATAATGTACGAACACTAACATGTGTAAGCGATAGGTTTAATTAGTCACATACAGCCCCGTTGCTTTTACTACCTTAAAAATTCCATGAATTTATATTTGGTTCGCCACTTTTAAGATTTCTCTTGTCGTTAGACACTATAATTGGAATTGGACCGAACCAAGATCCTTTAGTTGGGGGAATTCTAGTACAGGCAGATGCAAAAAGTAATGACAACATGCATTGCAGCGATATATTTGTACCAACTAAATATCGAAAATATTAAGTGCCCGGCTAGTTAGTAGCCTGTCAAAGTCAATGTTTGACCATTATTCTTTTTATATTTCAAGACATGCATTTTTTAAAACTTACCCGTTGAGGTATGGCCAAATGATTGCATGAATAATGGCTATAAATAGGGGAGGTTCTTGCACAAAGAAGAACCAAAAGAAGTGGAAGCTCAAGCTGGTCAGTACCCTCACTACTTAGTCTGAGCTAACATTAACTTGTTATTTGAAAGAGCCATGGCTACTTCTAGTCGTTCTTTCTGCGTGGCTCTTCTTGTACTAAGCATTGTTATGGCATGTTTGAAGGAGGGACATGGAGAGGATGGAGATGATTATTGCTACTATGGTGGCTGGCGTGGATGCAAAAATCATGTTGGAGGAGGAGGAGGAGGAGGAGGCGGGGGCGGTGGTGGTGGAGGAGGAAGTGGTAATGGAGGTTCTGGGCATGGAGAGGGTCATGGTGCGGGGGCAGGTGTAGGTGTAGGAGGTGGTGGTGGTGGTGGCGGAGGTCATGGAGGTGGTGGTGGGAATGGAGCTAGTGGTTCAGGTCATGGTGAAGGATTTGGAGCTGGAGTTGGTGCAGAAGGTGGTGGAGGCGGTGGTGGGTCCGGTGGTGGAGGTGGCAGTAGTGTTGATGGAGGGTATGGTCATGGAAGTGGTTTTGGAGCAGGCGGAGGTTTTGGAACTTTTGGAGGACGTAAAGGTGGTGGTGGTTTTGCAGAGGGAGCTGGAGGTGGAGGAGGTGGTGGGGGTGGCGGTGGGGGTGGTTCAGCAGGAGGATCGGGTCATGGTAGTGGCTTTGGTGCTGGAGCTGGTGTGGGAGTCAGCGGGGGAGGTGGAGGTGGTGGAGAAGGTGGTGGTGGCGGCGGTGGCACCAATGGTGGGTATGGTCATGGAAGTGGTTTTGGAATGGGTATAGGTTTTGGTGGAAATGGAGGTGGAGGAGGAGGAGGAGGAGGAGGAGGCGGAGGTGGAGGTGGTGGCAGCAATGCTGCCGGTGGAGGATCTGTTCATGGTAGTGGATTTGGAGCAGGTGGTGGAGTTGGTGGCGCTGCCGGTGGTGGTGGTGGAGGCGGTGGAGAAGGAGGAGGAGGAGCTGGAGGAGGAGTTAAAAATACTAGCGATGACAATGGTGGTGGTGAAGGTTATGGTGAAGGATATGGGCATGGAGAAGGCAGTGGCTATGGTGGAAACAATAATGGTGGAGGCATTGGAATGGGATTTGGAATGGGTATGGGATTTGGTTTTGGCATTGGAACAGCTGGTACTAGTGGAAATTCTAGTCCTGTTGATGAAGCTAGCAAGAATGTTGACAAACAACCCTAAAGGTCTCAGTGCCAACTTTGCTCAAAAGATGAAAACAAAATAGTCAACCAATAATTTGCCATGCAATTTGTAGTATTTGTTTTTTTCCCCTGTTCTAGTATAACGAGAATAATTCGGATAAGGTTACCGAGAGATAGACAGAGAAGAGATTTATGAGTGAAATTGTACTGTACAATGCCATGCACAATGAGCAAATATGATATATTTGTATTAGTATTTGTTTGCCGATTCGTTCAGAATAAAGGGATCTTTTACCAATTTCTGCAGTTTGACAAAGCAATGCTTTTCCTTTCTTCTCATTCTTCCTTTTTGGGTATACGATCGAAACATTTGGTTCATTCTCCCACTGTCCATATCTGGATATCCTAGTTTGAATAAACATACATGTTAAAGTGAGTTGAAAATATTATTGTAACAAAACGGCGTGAGCTAATGGTACATAAAAAGTTTGTTTATGAAAAGTATAAACTTGCGGTTTGATGAAAAAGTGATTACTGCAATCGTTCTTCTTAATCATATGATAATAAAAGGAGCTAAATAGAACTAAAAATAAACTTGATTTTTAGCAAAGTGGAATAAGATTCAGGCAAAAACCTTTCAAATTACTAAAGTTGAAATGGGAGAGAAGCCAGGGATAATCCATAAGATAAGTGAGAAAGAAAAAAGAAGTACCAGAATTCCCTTTCCTTCTTTCGCTTAAGAAAGGAAAGTGAAAAGATGTAGCTACAATTTTATGTAAGGGTCCCCACTATTTTCTCTTAAAATTTTCATGTACTTTTTTATGTTCTTTTCCTTTCATTTATCTAGTTTCCAAACAAAGGTGAGATTTGAACTCCATGGGCCTAAATTTGGATCTTAAAGAACTCGAATCCTGTGATGATTTTCTTGAGACCCAAATTATGCCTCATAACAGAGCTCATAATGACCTCCGTAGTCAACAGAAAGTGAAAATGTAGTGTCTTTTTTTATGATGGAACTCATTCTTTAAGGAAAATGTTCTTCTAAAAATGTCTTTCATGGAAATATTTTCTTGGAAATGCTTTCTGGTGTTTGTCTGATGAGCGAAAAATACTTTCAGGAATAGAAGTGATCAGATAGTGTTTTGATGAAAGTTTATAGTAATAAAGGTTAATAACAAATATATGCTATTGATCCTTAACCAGCAATTTCCTAATCCTCAACTAGGGGTGTGCATTCGATTTATCAATTCGATTTTGACCCTTATCGATAATTACTCATCGATTATCGATTTGTACATATGCTTATCGTTATCGTTTCAATAAGGTTTCGATTTTTTTCGATTTCGATTTATCGATTTTGGGGGCTTATCGATTCGGTTATCGATTACACCAATAAGAAAATTTATGGGATTCCACGGAAAGTGTATCGCTATAAACGCGCCTAACTAATATGGACAAAAAGAAGCTAAAATAAGACGAACACCATTTATAATATAAAAATTGTGTCAACAAGCACATGCAACAAAACTAAAGTAAGGGATCAAATGTATGCCACCAACACTCCAACGGTATAAAAAAAACAAAATAAAACAAAACACATCATCACGGCTAATTCTGTTTTCCATTAATTTGAACTTCATTCCCTTGATCTTTAAATATGATCATTCCTTAAATGTGGTAAAGGAAATAATAGGTTAAGGGACTTAGGGTAAAGGAAAGGGTATAGATTAGGGAAAATAATATTGTATAGCCGCTTTCAAAATAGTAGCGGAATATATACATTCTGTATATTATATTAATCTGCACAAATAGGTAATTACTCATTTAACAAGTGTCTACAGTCTAGGGGTGTGCATTCGATTTATCGATTCGATTTTGACCCTTATCGATAATTACTTATCGATTATCGATTTGTACATATGCTTATCGTTATCGTTTCAATAAGGTTTCGATTTTTTCGATTTCGATTTCGATAACAAATAATCGATTCGATTTATCGATAAACCGATCCGAATGCACACCCCTATCCTCAACTACCTCACCTATGGGCAGATAAGTGCAAGACTGTGGAGAAACTGAAACCGGTAAGATTTCAGAATATTACATTCATGAGCTAATTAGAATACATGCTCAGGTTGTTTTGTGAAAAAAACCAGAGTATGGATGGGTCAAGTTGAATGTTGATGGATGCCGTAAAGACAACCCTGGTACAGCAGGTGGAGGAGGAACCATCATGGTGGTCTAGTGAAGGCTTTTGCGGACTGGTATGGGCATTGCAGCAATATTATGGCTGAAGTGAAAGCCATCTTGCAGGGTATCCGAATGTGTAGCAGTCTTGGCCTCATGAATGTGATTGTGGAATCAGATTCATTATTAATGGTCAATATGATCAACAGAAAGGTGACGACTCAATGGCAGATCAGGGAGGTGCTTGAACAGATTTGGGAAATGCCTAATACAAGCAATTTTCAGTTTTACATAGCTTTAGAGAGGGCAATTTGATTGCAGATCAACTAGCAAATTTGGAGGAATTTACAAAGTTTCAAACTATCTTCACGCTTTCTCTTCCTAGGCAGGTTAGAGCTTCTCTGAAGGCTGATCAAAATGGCATGCCTAATTTTAGATTTAGGCCAAGAAGGAATGACTTTACAGTTAATGATGCCATTATGTGAGAGTACTAAGTTTAGGGTTCCTCTTCCTTACTTGTAGCTACTATCATGTACAAATGCTAATTACATATCAGAGTATATGGAGGAATCTGTCAGTTTTTGGCCAACTTCTTATGTACAAATGCACATTAGGTTGAATTGCATCAATCTACACTATGTAATCGAGGCAAAGGTTTATGTCCTCCTCTGTGTTATTGTGATTTTTGGAATGCACAGGTTGGAGTCAAGCCTAACTCCTCCATCACTATGATGGACTTTTGGTTTAATATATATATATATATATATGTTAGTATAAGCAGTAATATAAAGTTAAAAGTTCAAATAATTGCCCAAAAATGACTTCCTCATTAGAAAACTGAAAACAGCTTCCTCTTGTTAGATATGCAGTGCATACTTCAACTCGAACTATATGTAAGTACAAGGAAAATTTAAAGACAAGTTTTAAGAGCATGCATATCCAAGAAGTGGTGCTTTTATTTCTTTAAATCCCAAGATAAGTGATCAAATTTGAGTTGGGAAATAACTCGAATTTTGACTTGGAAATATTCTTCGAACCAAAGTTCTTAGTATTTTTTTTAATGACAGGTGAATTTAAAGTGTTTTTCCCTCTTGTAGATTATTGAGCTGGCCCTGTTGGATAGCTAGTTTCGATCTACATCAGAATTGCACTTCTGGTACGCTCCAGCAGTTATATGTTTTTTTATCTTATATGCTCTGACTCGCTATGAAAGTAGCCTAGCAATATGTTCAAGCAAGAGTTGACAGTGAGCAGCCTCTGAAGTATTTGCATGTCAAACAAACAATAATATAGCAGAATAGTCATGTTAACAGAGCATGGACAAAGGAAAGAAATGTACATATATATCTTGCTGAACTATGTTTCATATTGGTGAAGTCCGAATTCTGGATCTACTGCTTTATCCTCTAGGCCATTGTGGACTCACAACCTAGAAAGAACAAGGAAAAAAGATACTTTGTAAATAAGAAAGAACATCTTACGAATGAAATACCAGAAATTTCAAAAAAAAGAAAATTGTTTGTCTTCGAACAGTTTCTTATGCTTAATAGATCATAAAACAAGAGATGATTGTTGTGTCCATTTTTTTTTCCTTAATGATTTTCTATTGCTATGTTAGCTTTTTATTTTATTTTATTCTCTAAGTTTTAAGATCCTTTTTTTTACAGAAGGGAGAAAGGTTTCTAAACCCTGTTAAAACCAAACCAGGAGTACTAAAAGCCAATGATTTAAGATCTGTTTGGTTTTGTTTCGAGGCAAAAACCAGACGATTCTATCCACGAACACATGGAGATACAGTAGTGTCCTGCTTTAGAATTTCGGCATTGTGGGTTCTGAGTTGAGATCTAATTCTATCTATACTTGTTTTCCGCATGCCTCAGCACTGAGCTATATCAAAACCGGTGATACTATTGCTGAATCCGCCATTGCATATTCCTGGTCATGTTGTTTTGGAAAGAATATTAGAAGTACAAAGTTGTCAATTGAACTTACCTCTAGAGTTGTAAAAACTAGTCTCATCCGGCTAGCAACAAGTGATGGCTCTTCAGCATGACCTGCAACTGCCATCTGCTCTAGTTGGAGAGTCTTCACTGGAAGCCTTCACGAGAACAGCATGTTATTAATACACATGATACCTATCTTGTAGACCTGAACGGAAGTATATCAACCAATTAACTACGCTCAATTCTTGAACTAAATGAAATATTAAAGGAAAGTTTCATAAAATTCCTCAAAAGCAAAATGGTTGATGACAGGTTTTTCTTTTAACAGAAAAATATCTTTTAAGATGGTATGCCCTCGGGCAACCTTACCATGCCATTCCTCTCACAAAGTATGCGTTTGCGATAATTGCACAGAAGCCTTTCCACTGGACTATCATTTCATCAGAAACTGAGGGTGTGGATGACCATCGAACTATAGTTGGTTGAGGTGTACATAGAATGGTGATGAATATAATGCTCAACCACATAATACACTCATCAACCTGCACCATAACCAGGTGTCATTAAGTAATTATCATCACATATCTTCTAGTAGTTATGGTGGTTCTCACAATTACACCAGAACTTGCAAAAAATACATGTAATCAACTGATTTAGAAAACTTGTATCCATTTAGCGATGAGGAAACTCAGACATCTTGAAGCTTTAACACCTATGGGAGCATTCTGGAAAGGGATCATTATGCAGTAGCATGGATGAAATGTGAGAACATATAAGCATGCTTATTCTTTTCCAGATAATTTTTCCCATCCCTAAATTAGGGATGAATCCCTGATACAATCAGCCAATATTTTCAGAATGAGAGCCGATATCCAGAGTTTTCAAGGAAACTTCTCAAGAAGAAATATGTTGCTTCTAATCAAAATCCTCAAGGCTCCTGCGAAACTAGTCTCTCTGAAACCAAACAGCAGTATAACATTTTATTTCGGGTGTATGCTAGTGTTACTTTAAGAAAAGAGGCATTATAACAAGAACCTTTGAGATATTCTAACTTGGTGCCTATGGAAGTGCTCTTCTCACAGTCACCGGGAAGGAAGTCAACGATTTGGCAATTATAAAAGTAATTAATCTGGAAACTTTTCTCTATGTTGTCACGAACAGTAACAACTCTAACCCTTAAATATAGCTACTACAGTTTTGCATAAATGTGATTAATCAATAGAAATACCGACAGTGGTGTCAGCAGTTGTTCAATGATCTGAAGGGAGACATGGAGAAAAAAGAAAAAAACAACAACATAGAACTAAATAATTAATACATAATGCGCCGACATTAGATTTGGCCTCCATTCAACTGTAGAAAGTAACGTCCAAGCAAAAAGGAATATGTACCGAGATAAGTTTTCACTTTGAGATGCGAATAAATGCTGCTAAGTATCTACCGAAGCACCTTCATTCAACTTTCTCTTTATCATATTACGGAATATGTACATGTTGCACAATCCTAGATGCAGAGATAGTAGCATCCACAAGGTGCCAGAAAGCGTCCAATCATATGATGGAGCATATGCAATTCCTTCCCATCCACCCTGCCTAGTTGGTGTAAAACAAAAGTGACTCACCTCCTCAGATGAGATCTTGGACTTCAGGGTGGTACTTCCTCCATATGTTTCCATGGCTCCAATTTCAGCACCAGATTCCTTCAGAGCAATCAGTTCTTTCCTCAATCCTTCATCAGTAGATCCCAAAGCATATGCATTTACACCAGCACTGATGAACTCCTGAACGATCAGAATCACAACAATGCACAAAGAAAGCAACAGAGAGACCTAATAGGGGAAGGAAGAAAAGATTGAGAATACTTTTAGGTTGTCACCTCCTCCACGCTCAAGAAACTTCTTGTATCTCTTGAACAGGCTGATAGCTATATTTCGCGAGGAGCGATACTCATTTTCAGGTGAAGTGGCATCTTGTGACAGGCACTGAAGCAATCACAAAAAGAAGAATTACATAAAGGTAAATTACATGTCAAGAGAGCGAAAATGTTCTAATAAGCGCTTACCAGCAATCTATATGAAGCGGCATGCTGAGAGAGTTTATAAGTTTTCAGTTGACTAAGCCAGTTCCAAGAGAAAGAACAACTGCTGCCTCCTTTAGCAGGATAACACACAAGGCTAGCAGAACTACGACTACTAATCAAAGGAAGGACATATTTAGTCTTGCAAGGAATGGCTTCATGCAGCAAACTAGTATCCAGAAATGATTGGCAGCTGCTAAAGGCTTGTGGATTCTGAAGCCTTAACATTGTCCAACCATGATATGCTCACCTTGAAGCAACAGGAAAAGAGAAAACAGTGAGATTCAAAGTATAATTTTGTTGCCTACTAACCATCTTCTGGAGCATTTTCAGAAATATGCAGAAATCAAAAATCTATAGCAGCTGTGCAAATACTTTCGTACTTTATCAAGTTGGTGTTGCAAAGGATGAATTTATATGTAGACATTTCCGAGCTATTTAAACCATTCTATGTTTGCTTGAGTAGGTCAAACTGGTAAATTAAAGAGAAACCAAATGTTTTTTCTTTCGTGACTTCAATTTATGTGTTTCTTCTTGACAATACAGCAGGCTTTTGCTCATATTCTTCAAGTATTTCTTCCGAATAAAACCTTAATCTAATGATTAGTAACTAAGAAATTGCAATCTACTGCGATCGACACTTTCAACTAGTTAAATTACATTATGATCATATCTATTATCTGTCACCTTTAGTGGATAATCCAACAAGAAGGTTTTTGTCTACTAGCAAGCATCATCTACAACTCTAATCTCTACACACGACAACAGAAAGGTGCCAGCAGGGACAACTACAACAACTAGGCCTTAAGCTTAAACTAGTACTCCTCTATATCCATTCAGCTCTATTCCCATTTCATTTCAATACTGGAAAAATAATTTGTGTTGAAAATTTTTGGTCCAAGAATGATGCTGCGTGCAAATTTGAGATTCTATTTCATGCTAAAAGACCACAAACCCATAAAGAATTTGAATGAAAAATGAAGCTACTGTACAACATCAAGACTCACATGGATAATTTTGGCACAAGAAAATTGGAAGATTAAGATGATGCACAGTGATCATAGAGGACAGAAAAAAATCGTGTTCAAAAGAATAAACTTGCAGAGTTGTGAAAGCTTAAACTAACCTTATCAGGGACCTGGTCACATCTGCACAGGAAGATATATATGCAATAAAGAAAGACAGAGTTCAGTTCAAAAAGAACTGGAACAGAAAGAAAGATGAAGAAGATAGCCACGTATTTATTTTTTTATAGATACTAAACAGGCAGATAAAGGATACTTGAATTTTGTGAAGATATATGTGAAGAATCTATTGGACAATTTGCTATGCGCCACAAATTTCAAGAATGGTCCTCAGTTTTCTTCATCTGAATCCCCTTTTATTTTCCACCAAATTCTCCAATTCCGCAGCTGATTTTTCTACGTTTGACCTTTCTTTGTCACGCTACACCAACTTTTGGTTGTCATTTTTTACCGAGGAGAAAATCCAAGTGAAATTAAGGGTGCACTTGATAGATGGAAGGGAAAATGTCCTAATTTGTCCTTGTTTTATTTGAAATTGCTTAATTTTATCTTTCATTATACCATAGGTCTATTCATGTATCGAGAAAGATGTTCTCTTCCTAACATTTGAGAGTCCCGTCGAATAATTTTCTTTAGCATTTACACTATTTCAATATGTATTTGTCAGCCAGAAAAAAATTAGATATTTGAGGGGCCACTTTGGCAAGCCCCCCCCCC